GGTGACAAACGAGCAGAGAGTCCACCTGATGGTTGTTGGATGCGGTGGTCCATAAACATATACCCACATTTATCCTCGATTAAGAATCAAAATGCAGATGCCTTGTTACCCTTGAGGATTAAGATGGATTACCTCGTTTCCAGTAAGAAAGGGTCTCCGGATCTCTACACTACGAAATATAGCAGTATCAAGCTACTATTTTACGCTGGTATTCTGTGAGAGCGTGGTCCTTCTCCGGTCGAGCCAACCCATTCGTGTTACAACCATAATATAGCTGCAGCGTCGCTCTACCACTTATAGCTAAAATTAATAAGCTGTTACTGCAATGCCCCGGCCAAGCGTTAGTCATGCATGAAATCCCATCTCGTCCTGCTGAGCACTCCAAGTTATTTTGATGCCAATTTAGCCTTCCCTTCAAAGTGCCTACGAAACTGTACGTCTCACGAAATTTCGACACCAAGGATTCCGATACCAGCTGAGATAACAATGGGAGTGCCCTGAAATCGAGGAGATACGACAAAGTGGTTATTTTCTTGCGGTAAACAAGCAAACATGTTTTTTTGGGGGTTAAACTTTAGTCACCCCCAATCTGAGACTTTGTTTAACAAAGACTCAACTTCAGACACAAGTTTCTTCCGACACTCAACGACGTGTATCTGAGAAATATAAGCACGGCTGGTGTTAAAGCATCTCCAGTGCGGTCATATGATTAATTTTCATGCATTCACAGGCATAGAGTCGGAGATTGCACTGTCGACTACGACCTTAATACTCTGATCTGTGAAAAAACTAGTGACCCAATTGCATAATTTCTCGGGAAGTCCGTAAGAGGGAAACTTTAAAAAAAGCGTTTTGTGCCAAGCCTGATCGAAAGCCTTCGCTATGTCCAAACTAACCACCATGGCCCTTCGTCTCGACTACCTCCGCCCATCGGTAATCGGTGAGTCGGGTAGACAAAAAGACCACAAACTGAGCGACCTCGACGGAAACCGTATTGACGATCATTAATCAGCTAATGCTCATAGAGGTACCGCATGTGCTTGCAGTTAATAATGGATTCGATTACTTTGGAGAACAAGGAGGTGATAGCGATAGGCCTGTAGTTTGACGTGACCAAGCGGTCACCTTTTTTAGGCATCGTGTACACTAACGCTGTATTCCATAAGCCTGAAACGACGTCTATAGAGTAAGAGAGCAAGAAAAGACGTGTTAGAACCGATACCAACTGTGGAGCACACGTCTTCACCACATTTTGGTGGATTCGATCAGGTCCACTCGAATTGTGGACGTCCAGGAAAAAGAGTGTTTTTTCGCACCGAGCGCTGTTTAAATAGCACATCCGGCATGGAGTGCGGGATGGTCGGCGGTATAGACCCCCAGTCATTGATGATTGAGTCAAGTTGGACGCAAAAAGAGGTCCTAAAAGATCGGATTTCTAATTTGCGGCATGGCTAAGCGAGTCATCCTTCTTGTGCAAAAATCGCTTACAGATATTCCCTTGGGCAGCTTTGCCGAGGGATAACAATTCGAAGATAGGCTAACTAGTTTTTTGCCAATTCTCTTTATGTGCTCCGACTTTGTACTAGCGATATCTCTTTTGAAGGACTTGGAGGTTGAATTGTACTTATTTTTGATTGCGCTAGTGGTGGATGGATGGACCGGGACGTCGATGCGTCAGCCAAGGCCTTGTAAGACTCCTGCATTTTCTGCGACGTAATTTTGCAGGAGCGTCTAAACCAATACTGGGATCTGCCGCCTGTAGACACTATGGATGACGGGATCAAAAGTTCCATCCTTTGAAGCACCACATCGGCAGCAGACTCAGCAACGAATTTTTTGGGATCATCTAGCGAGAAGATAATCCGCCCTCCCATGAGTACGATGGAAAAAAGCCCACATACCACCTCAATCCGCTCACCTATAGTGCCACACGGTGGTAGCCTATAGAGCGTGCCCGCAATGAGCAAGTGATGGACACTGTAGGTACTCCGGATCAGTAAATGATCCAAAGAGCCAAGAGGGGCATCGACGGAGACCTGATAGCCGTCCGGATGAGAGGTCAGCAGACGGTTCAACAGGGAAAGTGTATGATCCTCCACATCTGGAATCTGCGTGGGCAAAGTAACCAGTTGTGTCAGACCGTATGCCTAGGTATAGGTATACGGTCTAGATACTGTGAGTTTACTACAGCTGAAACGAATTCGTGATATAGCAGCAAGAGAAAAAGTGGCTTACGTCAAATGACAATTACCAAATATTTTTTACTTTTTTTTTCGTGATTAGTAAATGTAAATTACCAAATAAATATTGTAAACAAATTATACGTACATACGTATCTAAATATTCTATTTCATGATTGAGGCTGCAGTATTTTAGTTTGTATGTGTGTAACCGAATAAAATATGTATGTACATAAATAAGTACATTTATCGTATGTTGGTATATATTAATTAATAATCATTGATTTTCGTTGATATATATTTGGAATCAAAGCCATTTATTCTCAAAAGAATTTACAAAAATTCACTTAAATGAAAAATACATTAAAAACAAAATACATAATGAGTGTTAAGTAGTAAGTGGTCACCGAGCGTGCCAGACAAAGTACACAAATATTTTATGTTACATGCCAGAAGTGCAGTTCACACAGCGCTCGGTTCGCAAAGCACTCCTCTCCATGGACAATTCCACAAGTCGAGTGGGCCTGACGGAATCCCCCCAATTGTGCTGAGGACGTGTGCTCCAGAGTTGGCACCGGTTTTAACGCGTCTTTTCCGGTACTCCCATTGGAGTACGGTACCAACAATGGAGTCCATTGTTAACTGCCAGCTCATGAGGTACCTTGAGGATCACCAGCTGATTAGTGACCGCTGATACGGTTTTCGCCGTGGTCGATCAGCTGGTGATCTTCTGGTCTACCTAACTCATAGATGGGCGGAGGCAGTAGAGTCCAAGGGGGCGGCATTGGCCGTTAGTTTGGACATTGCGAAGACCTTCGATCGGGTTTAGCACAAAGCGGTTCCTTCGAAGCTCTCTTCCTATGGGCTTCCCGAGAAATCGTTCAATTGGATCACCAGCTTTCTTGCAGATCGGTGCATCAAGATCATTGTAGACGGTGCAAGCTCCGATTACAAGCCTATTAATGCTGATTTCCACAAGGCTGCGTGCTATCGCCAACGCTGTTTCTTCTGTATATCAATGATACGTTGCAAACCCGTAACATTCACAGATGACAGCACTGGTGATGCTTTGTACACCGGCCGTGCCAATATTTCTCGGGAAAAGGTTTCCGAGTACCGGGACAAACTTGTGTCTGAAGTCGAGTCTTTGCTGAACAAAGTCTCGGATTGGGGGCGACTAAATCTAATCCAGTTTAACCCTCAGAAGACACAAGTTTGCGCGTTAACCGCTAAAAAGAACCCCTTTGTCATATCTCCTCAGTTTCAAGGCATACTCCCTGTTGCCTCAGTCAGTATCGGAATCCTCGTCGTCGACATATCGAGTGAAGTGCAGTTTCGTGGTCACTTGGAAGAGAAGACCAAATTGGCCTCTAAAAAGCTTGCCAATTAATCCCAGCCGCCAAATTTCATGAACGCACTACGCGGCAAACGTCCCGATACCATCTACACCATCTGGATGCTTGGCGGTCCACGACTATACGTTTCACAAGGAATTTTCTTCCGCGTACAACCTCTCTGTGGAATAGTTTACCACCTGCGATTTTTCCGGACCGATACGACCTGGGGACCTTCAATAAAAGAGCTAACTCCTTTCTCAAGGGCCGGCAACGCACCTGCAATTCCCCTGGTGTTGCGGTTAATCAGGGGTAGCGGTAGTCGCCTTACATCAGGTGAGCCACATGCTCGTTTGCTCCCTCTTATAAAAAAAAATGTTATAAAAATATATAAATATTACGGGTATAAATTTTACCATCATGCGAGGATTGAAGATCACTCGTGCAAACAAAAACAAACGGTACAAGCGAACACAGATACATGGATTTAAAGATGCTTTACTAGAAATGACTAGCCATTATAACGAGAATTATTGTAATATTGTGATATAATATTAATTATTAATATGAATGCTTAATGATATTTAGTAACCGTAGTGATAGTTTCTAATATTTATTTGTTTGATAGTTTTTTTTTGTTTAGAAGTAGTTAGGGTGTTATTATATTTTGTGATTTTGTAGGCTATTTTAACAGTTTTTTAAAAGTTAGCATACTTTTTACATATGCACACAACCCGCTTTTCTTCATACATTCGATTATCTGGATTTTCGATTATCCCTAACGACAACAATTAGTCCGGTTAATCGAGTTTCTACTGTAACTAGTTCTATGATGGTGACATAAATATCAGGTTTTTTTTATCTTCTTAGAGGCTTTGAGATATTATAGTCGTCAATTGTTAAAAGCAGATAAAAGACTGGAATTTACTCAGGTTTTTTTATTTACTTAGGGGTCTTGAAATATTATCATCATCAACTGGCTGCTAGTTGAAATTGTCGTCAAATTTTCCAAGAACTTCAAAATGTGACGCATCAGCATAATTTTTTGAATAAAATTCATACATATCAGACTCGACTGTATGGTCCAAAACTTTTGCCTGCTTTTGTTAGCAAATCGTAACAAAAATCAAAAACAATAGAAATACATGGCGGTGCTTGGGAAGCTACGTTCCGCTTACGGTTAAAATATATAAATCTTCGCGTAAATTTACGATAACATTGAAGTATTTTTATATTTTTATTATATTTGCAGTTTGTAATTTAAAATCTATAAAGATAAATCAAATACACAGTTATATCATGTGTTTCAGTAAAATTTATGAATTTATTTTAGCACAGCTTCTTGGCGGCAACTATATAATGAATAACAACAAAAATATTTCGTTAGGAAACAAAACAGCTTAGTTGAGAACGGTTATCAGAATATTTTTTTTTTCAAGAATCTCGTCGTGCTTTTTGAAATTCGGTTTCTTACAAGAAGTACGCGATGAATGATGTTCGTGACAAAGTGTCTGCCGGCTCCTCGAATTGGGAGGGTGGCGCTACCCATAATGAATCTTCACTTGAACTGCAGTCATCATCTAGCGTTGGTGGAGAGGCCCCCCAGACACCGGGTGCGCCAGCGCCTTTAGCACCGCATCTTGCAGCAGAGCTGCATCCGGATCTCTTGCAACAGGGTTGGCGCAAATATTGGTCTAAACGAGAGAATAGACCGTACTTTTGGAATAAAATATCGGGCGAATCAATGTGGGAACTACCAGCAGTAAAGAGAGATTTTGATCCTATAACAGATCCTTTAGGCATTTGTCACACTGGCCCTCCTCCAGCAGGTAATGTTACTCCGAGTGCGAGTAAACGACGCCCGTCTGAAGATAATGGTCCTCCACCAAAGAAATTCGTTTTAGCTGGCCCTTGGGATATTGAAGTACCAACCAATGTAGTTATTTATGAACGTCCACCAACTATTTGTCCACATCCCCATCCTGAAATTGAAGGATTTAGGTTTACATTAGCAAATAAACTGAGACAGTGTTATCAAGAGCTTTGTCATACAAGGGAAAGCATAGATGCACCAAAGGATTCATTTAATCGCTGGTTAATGGAAAGGAAGGTCAATGACCAAGGAGGTTCTGATCCTCTGTTACCAAGTCATTGCTTTCCTGAAATATCCAGGTCAATGTACGAAGAAATAATGAATGATATTCCTATAAAGTTAACTCACCCTAAGTTTACTGGTGATGCACGGAAGCAACTGTCTCGATATGCAGAAGCTGCGAAAAAAATGATTGAATCAAGAAATGCATCACCGGAGAGTCGTAAGGTAGTGAAATGGAATGCAGAGGATACATTCCAGTGGCTTCGACGTACTGTTGGCGCTACATATGATGATTTTCAAGATCGATTGGCGCATTTAAGGGTATGTATTATATAAATATGATTTATTGGGGAATAGTATTAAGTATAAAGTAATAAAGAAGTATGTTAGAGGTGACTGAATGATAAGGTGAGAAATTGTCTACTAAGAAAAAGGTGTTTAGACACATAAAAAAAATGAGAAAACATGACAAAGCAAATCTATAGTGTAGAAAGCCTGCTGTAGGAAACAAACAGGAAAACCCTAACCCTAAATGAGAAGTTTATCCATAAGCATGTAGATGTAAAATAAGCTAGGAATGTGCTAGAATGTGCCAAATGGAAATCTGTAGTCTTTGTTTACCCTTCTAGGTAACAGGTGTAGAAGTTTGGTATAATATGTTATTTTAAATTTTAAAATAACTGAAACAGCATTCATCAATTATAAACTGTGGTGATTCTAGTGAGAGTACTAAGTCGAAGTCAGTCCCACTTTAACCTACTAGGAACTAGCTACACCTATTTCTGAGCCATAAATAAATCTAATACATCAAGTTTAATCAAATAGCTTGTAGTTTTAGTTATTATTATTAAATACTATAAAAACTTTTAAATCATGTAACTTCTTTTATTTTTCTTTCTATTTCATTTGCTTCTACATTTTAGTTCACATTTATTTAGTATAGCGTAGTAAGAAAAAACTGCTCTCCTTTAAACTTCAAAAATGTTACTTAAATTATTTTGAATTTCTTCCGTCAATATATAAACAAACAAATTATCTACACAAGCTCATTATGTTAACACTTTCTTGACATTTCTTTTATATTTACAATACCTTTCTTTATAAAAATGCTTTTTTACATGATGCATATAATTTAGTTAAAAATTTATATAAATAAAATGTAGTTAATAACCATTCACTATAGTCAAAACAGCAGCAACATCACTTTTTTTTATATTATGTGTGAGCAGCTATGCAGGGAAAGAGACCAGTATCACTGCGACCTAGAAGATCTATTGTGATCGCTGCTATGGCTATAGTTCATGGCTAAGCCCTATGTCTTCAATGAATAGAATGAATTGCTTAGCCGTGAGCAATTTCACTTCTTCTGGGCGGTGTAGATAGTTTCCCAGGTGAGTGTTACGTTTGCACATTAAGGGTCTGCAGTCAGGATGTGTAGAGGCGTTTCTTCAGTTATGGAACAGAACCGACAAATCCTTGAGTTGCTTAGTCCCAGGATGAACTTGTGCTTTTTAAGACAACAGTGTCCAGTTAGGGCTCTTGACAGAATGTGCAATTTATTTTTACTTAATTCCAGGGCTTCTGAGGCAAATTTACGATCAAAAGCCCGGATTAAGGTTTTAAAATATTTTTAAACCTGGTGTGTCAGACCAGATCTTAAGTGATTTATTGTGATAAAGAGTTTCAAGGGTCAATCGGGCTAGGCTTCTTGAGATTCCACAAAATGGCTCAGGTCCAAATTGTGTGCACTTTGAGCCCTCCCATGCAAGTTTGTCAGTAAATTCATTGCCTACAATACCCTCGGGACCCGGAACCCATCTTAAAACGACCCAGTTACATCCTACGGCATTTAAACAGTTCAAGCAGTCTAGCTAACTAGCTTCGAGTTCACTTAGTTTGACCTCAGCACTAGCAGTGCTGCTTGACTATCAGAGTTTATGGTGATTCCTTAATTGAGTTAAGCATGGATCTCAATCTGTAGAAGAGCAAGCTCAGACCACCCTGGGCGTTAATCCTATATAAACTAGCCCTTGCCTCCATGTCTAGATAAAGATCAAGGATCAAATAGAAGTGCTGCTCCAGGCGATGATTACATAGCTCCAGTTAAGCAGGCAATCCTTTGTAGACTATTTAGTCTGTCCGCAGTCGTCTTTTGGTTGGCCTTGTTACACCAGACAATAGAGACGTAGGTGAAAATCGGCCTCACTATGCTGCTGTACAGCCATAGTACCATACTGGGATGCAAGCCCCAGTTGTTCCTGACCAAACAACTGCACATACCTAAAGCAATTTTTGCCTTATGGCATATGTTGCTAAGGTGAGAGTTCCGTGTTAGTTTTTGGTTGATTTTTACGCCCAAGTACTTAACTTCCGTGGAAAATGGTACTTCTTTACCATTAAGTATTGGTTGGACTAATTTGTCCAACCGTCTCTTTTTGGTAAAGGGTATTATAACAGTTTTATCAGCATTAACTGATCAACTGTTATCCCTACAACAGTTATTTATGGTGTTTAGGGCTCTTTGTATTATTGATGATAAAGTACTTTGGCAAAAGCCCCTCACAATGATCACAAGGTCATCAGCATAACCCAGTGTGTCAATGCGTAGGTCTACCATTTTGTACAATAGTTGTCAACCGCAAGAGTCCAGAGAAGGGGTGACAAAACACCTCCTTGTGGGCAGCCTCTTGTAGTTGCAACCTCAATCGAAGTTTTAAACAGCGCTAGTTTTGCCTTTCTGTTTGAGAGCATCGACTTCACCCATCTGATGGTTGTGGGGTCAACATTTTTAGATATCAGGCCCCCAATCAGCAGTGATGTGGGGCTACTGTCGAAGGCGCCCTCAATATCTAGAAACGCACAAAGAGCTATTTCTTTATCCTCCAGTGCATTTTCGACCCTATCAATGACACTGATCAGGGCTGTTTCCATAGATTTGCCTCTGCGGTAAGCATGCTGGTTGTAATCTATGGGCCTCGTAGCTAGAGCTACATCCCTTATATAAGGTATCTATCTATAACCTTTTCCAATGTCTTAAGGAGAAAGGAAGATAGGCTTATAGGTCTAAAGGACTTTGGTAAAGCGTAGTCCTTTCTACCAACCTTAGGTATAAATAGAACCTTGACAATTGTCCATCGTTCTGGAATATTAATATGCAAATCTTGCTCTGAAGATTTTCACCAGATAAGGAAGAAGGATGTCGACACCCCTCTGTAGTTGGATGGGAATTATTCCATCCTCCCTGCTTGATTTAAATGGTTCAAAGGAGTCAGCCCACTGCACCAGGTTTGGCCTTATTATCTTTGCAGCCCTACTCCAGTCCTCATTACAAGGCCTTCGTAGGGCTCTGAAAGAATTCAAGGCTGAAGTCTTGTATGACCCTGGGAAATGGGTTGACGCTAGTAACTCCAATGTTTCTATTTCACTATTAGTGAAGTTACAATCTGGCTTTTTAAGATGCCCGATCTGGTTAGGTTGAGCTTTCGATAGCATTTTGTGTAGGCTTGCACTGCGAGGCAAATACTCAACTTCCTCGCATAGCCTTCCTCCACGATGCTCTCTTGGCTTTCCTAATTTCTTTATTATATTCAGTTAGTGGCTGCACTATAAATATCCCACTCTCTGGTTTTCTTAGCCCTATTAAATAGTTTACTGGTCTTTTTCCTAAGTTCTTTTAGCTTAGTATTCTGCCAAGGAACTTTTTGCATAGAGGTCTTGGTTTTGACGGGACAACTGTCCTCAAAGGCTTCACGTATACCTACGGTTACTGTCTCCGTCGCTAACTACAGACCTTCAATTGTTTTGATACTTTTAGGAAATGTTTCCAAATTCTTCCTTAGGCTATCTCTGTAGATATCCCAGGAGGTCGCTTATGGATCCCTAAAAGCAACGGTTTCGTAGGTTAGTGATGCTCCAATCACAAACTTCTATCATCGTTTTCGCTACTAACAATGTCAGTAATTTATCTGCCTGGGCATGTTATTGGTAGCAAAGGTTATGTCTAACATTTCTTGCCTAGCTTGCATTACAAAGGTATGTGTACTACCTAAGTTTAGGCTTACCAGGCGGTTAGAGATGAGAAAATCATAAAGTAACTCACCTCTTTCGTTGATGTTGGTGCTTCCCCAGGCTGTGTGGCAAGCATTAGCATCACAACCCACCACAAGTTCGGCGTTGTGTTTCGGGCAAACTCCGCCACTCGCTCTAACTCAATGGTAGGATTTGCGTTCTCGCTGGGAAGATAGGCTGAGCAACTGATTACTCTGGCCCTGTGCATCGCAAGGGTGAAAACTGGCAGCGATCACCGAATGGTAGAGGCACACTGAACCTAAACGTTAAGTTGGAGAGGTCTCGTCTAATGAAGTCAACGCTACGTCCCCCTCGTGCTCTAATCCAAAATCCCGAAAACTTTCAGCTCGAGTTACACAACCGCTTTCAGTGCCTACAAGATTGCAATGCAGTGGACGATATGAATGACAAGCTCGTGGAAACTGTCCATGCGGTCGGAGCTAAGTTCTGCAAGACCCGCCGCAGAAGAACACAAAAACTCTCCGATCACACTCTTAATCTCATGGCTGTTAGACGGGAGATGAGGCTGCAATCGTCAACAGATTTGACAGCATACAGGCAACTGAACAGACAGATCTCCAAATGCATGCGGCGAGACTTACGCAACTTTAATACTGCTCGTATTAAAGAAGCGATCAAGCGGAACCAGGCAGCTCCAAAGTCTTTGCCAGAGATCTGTCTGCCCGTAAGAGCCAACTGTCAAGGCTGAAGACTGAGTATGGCAGCATCGTTTCCGGGACGCCTGAGATTTTGAGTGAGATTGAGAGGTTCTATGGGCAGCTGTACACATCATCGTTGGAGCCACAAGCAAGTGTGAGTAACGATCCAAGAGCAAGTCCGTTATCCCGACATTCCGATGATATCCCGGACGTCAGTCTAAACGAGATTAGAATGGCTCTCCAGCACCTTAAAAACGGCAGGGCCCCAGGCGAAGATGGAATTACAGCGGAGCTTCTGAAAGCGGGTGGAACACCGGTACTTGAAGTCCTTCAGAAGCTCTTCAATTCCGTCCTCCATGGTGGCACTACTCCAGAGGCGTGGAGCAGAAGTGCGGTGGTCTTGTTCTTTAAAAAAGGCGACAACGCTCTCTTGAAGAACTACAGACCGATTTCCCTTCTGAGCCGCATCTACGTGCTATTTTCGAGAGTCATTACGAATCGTCTCGCACGCAGACTCGACGACTTCCAGCCTCCCGAACAAGCCGGTTTCCGAAAAGGCTTCAGTACCATAGACCACATACATACCCTGCGGCAGATTGTACAGAAGACTGAAGAGTACAATTTGCCACTTTGCCTGGCGTATGTGGACTATGAGAAAGCCTTTGATTCCGTCGAAATTTGGGCGGTGCTGCAGTCCCTTCAGCGGTGCCAAGTTGACTGTCGGTATATCGAAGTGCTGAAGTGTTTGTACAGTAGGGCTACGATGGCTATCCGAGTACAGAACCAGAGCTCGAAACCTATCCAACTGCAGAGAGGTGTAAGACAAGGTGACGTTATATCCCCGAAACTCTTCACCGCTGCGTTGGAAGACGTTTTCAAGCTACTGGACTGGAAAGGATACGGTATTAACATCAATGGCGAGTACATCACTCACCTTCGATTTGCCGACGATATAGTCCTTATGGCAGAATCGCTGGAGGACTTAAGCACTATGCTCAATGACCTCAATAGGGCCTCCCAACGGATAGGTCTTAAGATGAACATGGACAAAACAAAGATCATGTTTAATGTCCATGTCACACCTATGCCGGTAGTTGTTGGGAGCACTATGCTCGAAGTTGTTGACGAGTACGTTTACCTGGGACAAATAGTCCGACTAGGTAAGTCCAACTTCGACCGAGAGGTCAATCGACGGATTCAACTCGGCTGGGCAGCGTTCGGGAAATTACGACACATCTTCTCGTCAGGTATACCTCAATCTCTGAAAACTAAAGTGTACAACCAGTGCGTGTTGCCAGTGATGACTTACGGATCAGAGACGTGGTCCTGCACTGCTGGCCGTATGAGGACGCTCAAGGTCGCTCAGCGAGCTATGAAGAGGGCTATGCTCGGAGTTTCTCTGCGTGATAGACTCAGAAATGAGGATATCCGCAGTAAAACCAGAGTGACCGACATAGCCCAACGGATTAGTAAGCTGAAGTGGCAATGGGCCGGCCATATAGCTCGAAGAACCGATAACCGATGGGGAAGAAAGGTTCTCGAGTGGCAGCCTCGTACCGGTAGGCGTAGTGTAGGGCGACCCCCCACTAGATGGAGTGACGGCCTAGTAAGATATGCAGGAAGTCGATGGATGCAGGTGGCTCAGGACCGTGCTTTGTGGCATTACTTGGGGGAGGCCTATGTTCAGCAGTGGACTTGTGAAGGGCTGTGATGATGATGATGATGATGTGCATCCCTTGAGATTTATGAATGCTGTAACCAGGACATCATTGCAGTACTCTGGAACAGCTAAAAGTTCAATATTTTTACTATAAATATATTATAGTAAAAATATTGAACTACATAGCTCCGGGTCTACTGCCTTTAGTATTGACAAGAATCTTACCAGCAGCTGACAATCTCAGAACTTTACCGTTGGCCACACAAGGCTCTTGTATAAGGGCGAGGTCAATGTCGTCCTCTGCAAAGCAAACCTCCACCACGGCAGAAGCAGCTGCTGCATGGTGAAGATTTGCCTGGAGGACCCTCGTCTTACCCTTGGGTTTAGCCATTTATGGGCGTGGAGGGGCAGGGGTCTTTTCCGCCTGTTGAGACACAAGGACGTCCTTTACCTGCGCACTTGACCCCCGCCTTACCTCCCACAGGCCTGGACGACACCAGCGGAAGCCGTCGGACCGAGGCGAAATCTGCGCTTTGGGTCTTCGTTACTCTCACTGGTGGCGTTCCAGCCTCACCCCGAGAGGTCGAGGGCTGGGGGGATTGGAGTTCTGGCGGTTCGGGCTCCATTGCCGCGTCAGAGTCTCCCCTGACTTTAAAACTTATCATCTTAAAGCCAAGGACGACTTTGCCGCCTGCCTTCCGAAGAGCCTCTGTCGATGGGTCGTCCAGAGAAAAGGTTACTAAGAACCCATTCTCCTCGTCCCTATGGTGGAAGATTCCCCAGAGCTCAGTATGGAGCTTTTCATTTTGTGCCCTCAACAGCACAGCCGCCTCCTCCGGAGAGTCGGCCTAGCTGCGGGGCAAGTAGGTAATGCCCAGCTGAGGCCTAGGAAGTTTGCCCTCTGGTATTACCGAGAGCTCTGCCTCCGGCAGGGCTTCAGTTTTCCGATTTCACCCACAATCCAGTCCTGGCTTTTGGGAAATCCAAAAATTTTGGACCCATTCCCAGTTGCGCCCCACAGGCCATCTTAGCGATGGCCTGCGTTAAAGCCTGGTGAACCAGCCGCATCTGCTCCATACTTATAGGATTCGAATTGCGAATTTCTATACGCGCGGAGACAGCTACGGCACTGAAACTGAACTTTTCTCCCCCGTTGCCAGCTTCACAGACTTCCTGGGCTGGACTTTGGGGGACTCTTCCTCAGACCGACTGCGTTTTTTCGCCTTAGGAACTGGGGGAAGCTTGGGCAGAGGAATTTCGTCCCAGGGCTTCTGGCAGAGAGAGAGGGCCTCTTCGGCTCCTATCTCAGCTGCTATCAGCCTTCAGTACCTTTTCCTTGCTGCCCACTAAGCTTATAAGGCCTAGCGAACTTTTTCTTTTCCCCTCCCTGGTTCGTTTAGGATTGTGGTTCGGCTGCAGACGTGCCCTCCACTTCACAGCTCGTCCCAGTTTGGGGCGCAATGTTGCAGGGTGTTGGTGAGGCTAAAAGAGCCTCTTCCAAGCCTACAACTAGTTCCATTAAAGGAGATTTCTCAATATCTTTTCCAAAATGTCGGTTTTCGTCCATTTTGTTCCCACGATTAGCTAGGGAAATACTCGGTCACCCCAGGCAGAGCCCCGCATGCTGAGAGAAGGGCTAAAATACCACCCGAATCGCCCTGGCCATGCATCCATCGGCACAGTACGCTTGACACCTTGGATTGGGTTAGGATAGGAAAAGGTGGTTGGATAAAAGAAAAGAAAAAGAGGATCGTCCGAGTGTTTCAGTTCTGTCTGTTTTCTATTGAACCAGACCAAATAACAGGCGGCAACCACGTGAAGGAGAACTCCTCAGACTTGCCCTGGGGATCAACACGACCTGCACTCTCCCCTAGAGCCATACGCCAAACTGCTCGCCGGACAGGAGAGCAGAATAGGTGTCTAATCCTATTTATAATATCAAAAAGTTAGGAGTAGACTAACCCCCGCCCTCACATCACTTAGAACAACAGATTGGTTATTGTTGCAAAATGACTAGGTACTAGTTGAGTCCCCATAAAAACATATTGCTTGTATGCATATTGCCTCTAACAACTATTGAATATAGCGACTTTAGTTAAATGGTTCCTTCAATGTTGCAGTGAAATATATGGTAGTTTTATTTAATCAATTAAAAATAATAGTAACAATTGAAAAAGTAAAAATAGTAGTATAGTTTAAGCAAATGTTCATGATTATTTTAGGCTTGTACCGAAGCTTTTTTGGTTATTAAGGTAAGAGCCAAGTAACCTCGCATGATGCACGCACCCATTTTCACGATAAAGTGAATGCCGTCTAACGACAGTGAGGTTAAATTCATTTTATTCAATGTTCAAGCAAGTAGTTAGTGAGGTCACTATTATGCTCAAAAAGACATGGATGAAATTAAATAATTTGTAGGTGATATCTAACCTAATTATATTTGAGAAAGATCCTAGAATGATGAGATGCAAGAGTGTTAAAGCTTGATTGTGAATGTGGTCTAATTTTAATCTCAAAGTAGCCATGGTTAATTGTCACATTGGGACCCCCCCCCTGTGACTATGGCTGTGTTGGCTCTCGACACTATATACCCCAGTGAAGATCGGCTCAACCCTCCAGGACTCCTTCATCCCCGCGTACGGCGCTCAACTGCGCAGGTCCCAGCGCTGATGGGTGTATTAGTCCACTGGTCACACCCACTCCCTCCTCTTTTACCTGGGCTTGGGATCGACTGCACCAAAAAGCAAAGTTAAAATTACTAACAAATTTGTATGGATATTTATATCTGAAACATTATTATTATTACTAAATAGTTTTATTTAAAGATCTTAAAATGTTAAGTCCTTATATACAATCAATTATTTTCTTTTTCATATACAAAATTTATAAAACATGCTCCATAGTAGACTCAAATCGGAGGGGGTCACTATGTAAACTACAATAGTGTTCAACACTCCATGGAAAATTAAAGATTTCAAAATATTATGATTACAATGCAATTTTATCTTCTTTTGTGGATGTGCACTGCAGGTGCAATTGGGTTGCACTGGTCAATCACACATGTGTGAGAGCAGCCAATATTGCATAACTATTTTTAACCAGCCCTCTTTATTTAATCAACCCAGGTCTTTAAATAATCCTAATTATAGTAAATTAAATATTTCCATTTATTTTTACATATGGTGATTGGCTGTATCTTCAATGATTTTCTTATATTTTCCAGAGACAATGTCAACCCCATTTAGCTGAAACAGCAAAAGCGTCAGTAGAGGGTATTTGCTTGAAAATCTATCATCTATCAGCAGAATATGCAAGAAAAATTCGTGAAAAACATAGCTTTCTATTGAAAGAAAATGGAATTCAGGTATTTATTACTTTATTTTTAAGAGTTAACATTATACCTTTAACGCCAATGCAAATTGAGTACTGTGAAGAAACAACACATCAATCACTTCATTTCATCCTACGGATATGTTAGGAAGCTACTATGCAAAGGCGTCTAGGGTAGTTGTATTGTTTGTGAAATAAAACACATTTATGGTGCTATTAAAAGAAAACTGACTACAATAAACAACGTAGAAGGTCCTAATCATCTAGTACCTTTAAATCTGTTGTCCTAAGAACTTATTATGACAAAGAAGCAGTTGCTAATTTTTTTGGATAAGTCAAGTTTTTTTAAAACTTTTTCATTAATGATAACTGTGTAATCTTTAAATATAATCAGCAATTTTATCCAAGGAGATATTCTAATAATGCTTTAACCTTGTAGAAGCACAAATAAGATATTATGTGTTTGATCACCATTCGTTTAGAAAGTGATGTATGCTGTGTGAGTGAGTGGGTGGCGCTTCTCATTCAATCAAAAATAATATAAAGAAAAATCAGAGATAATATGTAGTAAATTATATATTAACATAATCTTTAACAGTTATGTATTAACATTATTTTTAACAGACACACCAAAAAGACAATGCGTTATTAGTTAGAAACATAAAAGAACACTGTTTTTATTTACGCGTGCCAAAGTTTATTTTTCACATGCGTTTCATTCACCATATCATTCCCTTCCATGTTAGTAAAAATGGAACCGAATGTCTTCCATTTTTAGTTTTAAGACATGCCAAGTTTAATGAATAAAGCTGAATATGCGTGTGCGTGGCAAGGGTGGCAGTGTGGTAGAGTCATGCTCCAGTTATATAATGGTTGTAGCACGAATGTATCGGCTCGACCCGGGAGTTACCACACTCTTACAGCATACCTGTGTAAAATAGCAACTCATTACTGCTTTGTTTCTTACGATGAGTGTAGTAACCCGGTGACATTTTACTGGAAACGACGCATTCCATCTTAGTCCTCAGAGGTGACAATGACAAAATACTGATGCATTTTGAGTCTTATCTTCTTTATATATAAAAAAACGGCCGATTTTGATTAAATTTTTTGTGTATTTGAGTTGGTCCCTAGATGGTTTAGATTCATATGTAGGTAGGTAGGTGGCGCTGCTGTCGAGATCGGGAATTGCGAACACGTGCGAAGCTTGGGTGGATTACTAGTAAAGGATAGATGTAGATATCTATGGCCCACAGCATCCACTTAACACCAGCAACCACTTAACATCATCATTTTTATGTGGTAGAGCCATGCTGCAGTTATATTAGTAGTATAGTTGTAGCAGAATACCAGCGTCAAATAGTAGCTTAATGCTGCTGTGTTTCGTATGGTGAGTGTGGAGAACCAAAAACCCTTTTTACTGGAAACGAGGCATTCCACCTAAGTCCTCATGGATGACAACGCATCTGCATTTCGATTAGTAATCGAGGATAGATGTAGATGTCTATGGGCCACAGCAACCACTTACCATCAGGTGGACTGTGTGCTCGTGTGTCATCCTATCCTATTAAAAAAAAATCAGGTCGACTGTGGGCTCGTTTGTCACTGTTACTGTATATAATAAAAGTGGGTTGGTGGCAGGAGCTGGCGGCGCCGCTGCAGCAGGCGGCGCTGCGCAAGGTGTGGTGCTACCCGGTGCAGTTCGCGCTGCCCGCGCCGCGCCCGCCGCTCGTCGAGCACTTCCTCGACCGCGACCAGGCGCTGCTGCGGTACCTCGGCGAGACGCAGATGATCAATGCCACATATCTCCAGAAACTTGTAAGTCCCGTGCAGACATAACCGCCTCACTTGCGAATAGCACTTTTTTTTAAATAGCGATAAGTCTTCTTCTTAGTAGAGTCACGCTTTAGCTATTTTATGTTTTCAAAACCGGGTAATATCTACGTAAAATAGCAGCTTAATGCTGCTATTTTACGTAGATATTGCCCGGTTGAACCAACAAAGCTTAATTTAGAAATTACAAAAGTATACCTGCCAAATTAAACATAACCGTGTATGATATAGCGGTCGAAGAAGTAATGAACATAATTTTTCTAGGAGTTGAAATAGATTAACATCTAAACTGGAAGGCACATATTGCAAAAATAAACAAAAAGATATCCAGTTAATGCTACGCATTGTCCATCCTGGCCGAGACTACAAATATAAGTGTTACTAGAAATGCTTATTTTGGAAGCGTTTATCCACTTCTAACTTACAGTATCATATACTGTTAAAACTCAACAGATATACAATCCACATTCATTCTCCAAAAAAATGTCTTAGAACAATATATAACGTGCATAGTACCGAATCATTAAGAGATGTTTTCAGAACAAAGGGTTTCCTAACATTGACTGGAATCTTTATCCTAGAATTATGTCTATTTGTTAAAAACAATATGCAATATTTCAATTTGAAATCTGATTCAAAGAAAAACATTCGCAATCAATATAAAAAGATTATTAAATTATATGATTTACTATAGAAGCACCTATATTACTGCTATTCGTGTATACAATCAGTTACCACCGGCTGATAAACAATTAAATGGAAAATATGTTCAAAACAAAATTAAAGAAATTGTTAATTGAAAATGTTTTTTACAATCTCAATGAGTTTTTTAATAAAATTAATTAGGGATGAGCCGAATATGGATTTCACTGAATACGAATATTCGGCCGAACATTATTCGGCAGGATTACCGAGGTACCTAACCAATTTATGTCGAAACTTGTTACCGTAAAGCGCGCGAGATTACCGGCAGAGCCTTCCCCATGCTCCCCCGCCACACCTGACATGTTATTGCATCATCTAGTACTGAGCAAATTGCCGGCACATGGTTATGTTTTGACTATTTTTGTGAGAAAAAAGTATTCTTAGTGAAAATTGACAAGTATGTGATGAAAATAAGTGGCAGGAGATATAATATTTGGACCAATTTTAGAGAAATTGACGACTGTAATGTAATGTTTTTTTGTTTGATTCCAAGCAAAATTTTATCAAGCTTTCTATTTGCTATAATTGGAAATAAATCTACAGTGCCTCAAAAACATATCGTTATACAAGTAGATTTCTCCCATAAATATACTTACAACAGTAAAATGATGAAAGAAATGGCATTGCTCAATTCGTACATTTCCATACAGTGGATACTTTGAGTACCACTTTAAACCTGCCGAATATGCCGAATACCGAATATAAAACGAATATTCGGCCTATCTCTAAAATTAATGTTAGTAAGTAGTAAATTTTAAATTTATTTTCTTAATTGTTGCATATCCGAAATGGGTAAACTGTTGAGCCTAACACTATATGTTTTTGTACTAAGATCATATTGTTGTACACAGTTATGCAATAAATGTTCTATCTTTATCTTTGTGTTTCATATGATGTGCTTAGAGAATCGGAGACCTTTATTACTGCTAACAAGGCATTCCATCTAAGTTCTCAGTGGTGACAAATGGATTTTTTCCCATTGTCCAAAATTGCTTAACATAAGGCCCTTATTAATCGCAGATATCGTAGGTTTGCTTCTTAGTCATTTCCCGAAGAAGAGTTCGCGTTCCCGAAATAAGTAATTTTCTGATCGCTGGCACCCGCTTTTATACCCATTAAGATAAATATACAACATTTCTAGGTCAATCCGGGTTTCAAACAAATCTAGATTTCATGCATTACTAAGATTTATCCATACTCACCACACAAAAGAGGCGGATTGGTGACTGCATGACTGACTGACCCATTACCAGTCTGCAAAATTTAGATTCAGACTATTTGGATAAATTTCCCAATCAATCATCCCTACTCAAATTCGTCAATCCATAGTGTGTTGTAGTGGCGTAAAATCAGTTTTTTGTATTATTTACATTTTGAAAATAAAATAATATATATAAAAATGTTCCAGGAATGCTTGTATAGATATAGCTGCTTTGATGACAAGAAATTTGAGCAGTTCTTGTCTCGTGTATGGTGTCTACTGCGGCGTTATGCGGCCTGGGTGGGTGCCGGCTCTGAGGCGCATCTCACACAGATGTCGTTGCCTGTACCGGTGCTCGAATGTTTGCACCGCTGCTTCGGAGTCACCTTCGAGTGCTTCGCCAGCCCTCTAGACTGTTACTTCAGGCAATACTGCTCGGCGTTCGCTGATACCGATTCTTACTTCGGTTCGAGGGGGTGAGTTGAGGAGTGTCGTAAGATATTAAAGTAGATTTGGGGCTATCATGAAAAATATACATTTTATGTTTTCAATAGAAAGTTGTTAGCCATTGCAGTCTATTTGTCCTGATAATGCCTCGTTTAGAGTCGAATCAAGTGTTTTATTATCGATGGTGGGGTGTGTCACTTAGTACTGGTAGTTAGGATCAATGTGAAGTAATTAGTTTGATCCATCAATTTATACATTACTACAGCCTATAGGCTAATGTATAAAATATATATAATATACTGTATAAAAGGCTACTAATGAACAAGGGCCCCCCTTCCCATATAGATTGCGGTTATAGGGGGGATATTTGCCATAGTTATCAGGAATAAGTTAGTATAATTATGATATTCTGCCATTGGTCAGATTGTGTAATTCTATTTCGGAAGAAACTTATGTATGTTATTCTTACTTACTGCTGACAATGGCAGTTTACGGTTTTTAATTGCACGCATTGCAAATACGTTATTTTAATTTACGAACAAAGACTTGTATGCTAATACATTGCGCACTAACTTACGGTTAATTCTCCGCAACTTTCATTTTGTTTAATGTGACTAAGCACACCATCATTATTCATGTTAACACTTTGTCAACGTCATTTGAAGTTTATTTCAAATAAATATGTGAGAGGCCATTCGTAAATTACGTAAGGATGATTTTGGCGATTTTTAACCTCCCCTACCTCTATGTAAGGTTACATAAGATTTCTCCTTTTTTTTCCGTAAGGTTCCCCTCTTTTTGCGTAAGATTCTGTCTCGTTTTTTTTTTCAAAATAATAGAATGTTAAAAAAGGATCAATTACACTAAAATTCACAATTTGACGTAAATCAAGTATTTTTATTTTTTTAACAGATAACTTAGCTCTTGTCTTGCTATCAGATATAAGATTACCGTTATATTATTACCAAACAGCTTGAAAGATGTATTGCAGTATCGGCAGGGCAATACATCAGACTTTGCGATAGTTACAGTTATGACTGTTCCCGCGACCTCGCTCGCGTGTTTATTACGATTGGTTTTTATAGGTTTCAATTGTTTTTGCGCAGAATCCTAATTCATTTTCTATAAAAGTAGCCTGTGTTACTCTTCATAACATCAGCTGTCTGCTAGTAGCAATGCAGCTGGAACAAACAGACAGACAATTTTTAATAATTGTGTTTGGCTTATGTTATAAATACAGTATAAACTTATATATATATATATATATATATATATATATATATATATATATATATATATATATATATTTAGTTATTTATTAAATATATATATATATTACTTAACTATATATATATATATATATGAAAATAAAAATCATCTTATATTTTATGTTAATTGCAACATTCATATTGACACTTTTAAACAAATAAAATGGCTGCCAGCATCTGTAATTTTTAGTACGGAGTTGACTGCACCAGTAGCTTTTCAAGGTATGCATACTAGCCCTTTCTCTATATGTGTATTAATGTTGCCAGGTCCAATGGGCTAAATATCGGGACGGAAGGTAAAAATTATCGAGAATTTGGTTTTCAAATGTAATGTAATAAAAATTAAAAATAAGTTTTTGAAGCCAAGTATTTTTAACACATTTATAATTATTCTTTTTGCCTAAGCTGACCCACGAATAATTTATCGTCCATGTATTCATTCAGTTCATTTAACTATTCCTATTTTTACTTTTAATATTAATAAAATTAATGTAATGTACTGACTAGACTGACCGACTTAGACTGAGCACATTTATGCATTCCAAGAAAATAAAATAAGTTTAATAAGATGCATAATTGGAAAATATTTATTTATTCCTTTCCACCATATATTATATTACATAGAAACAATTTCCAAAACGGTGGACAGTGAACGGCTATTAAAATAAAAACAATGTTTCATATTACTATTGTTTTATTTTTCCCTATCTAGTCGGAATAAACATATTTACAAACTACCTCTTAAAAGTCAGATATACAATTGCCAACTTATCTGTTTACTTGTCCATTCAGCCTGCTAGTACTTAGACAGTAATATATTGGGGTAATAAGTTTTTACTGCATGGCAACATTCACTAAGTGCTCACATATTTACGAAACCGACCTCACTTCATTGTTGACAGTGCTCTGTTTTGAGTTTTTAATTTATCTGAGGTTCGCACATTATTATCATGCCAGATAGTTAACTCATTACAATTATTTTAATTGTAGCTGAGCTTTCTTAGCAGTCGGAATGGGGAAAAATTAATACAAATATCAATTCGTCACTAAACGTAAAAAAAGAAATATCCTATCTCTGGAGAAATAATAATGGAGAATAAAAATGTCTGCATGCTTGCCATATGGACCGGCTAGATTATGCTACCCAAGAATTAACTAATCAACTATCATATAAATCAACTAATGTAACTTGGGTAACTTGAATATGTTACCCAAGTTACAAGCGTTTTATAAAAAGTGTGTACTGCCTGAAACTATCGACTCGAGATAAGCAATGCCGTTGTGGTAAATATTTTTATAAGAAAAAAAATATGGTAATTGACTGTGAGTACCGATTTAAAAAAAATAGTTACATTTGGTTGTTTTATTTATTAAAGCAGGTTGCAACCGTAATATTTATTTATTTATAGCACTATGCTACTGTTAGTAGATATAATCGATTATTAACAAACATTGCTTAACAATCGAGTACTGCGAAACAATTAAAATATTTATGTGTACTTATTTCAACACTAATGTTCATAAATAATTAAAAATATATCAAGTAGATTACAATAAATTAATTAGATAACATAAAAATGACACACTAAAAATTTTCCATCCACTGAACTCCAACCTAAGGAAATTTGTTTAATTGAAGATCAAATCGTTTAGTCGCTATACTCACAGTATCATAGTGCGAGCGAGTGAATAGATATGAAATAAAGTATCGCTCACGTAACGCCGAAATGTAAGAGGGTTCTTAAATTAATATCAAAGAAAATAAATTACGATCGTCATCTAGGCTGTCGTCTTAAAATTTTAATAAACAGTTACAAAATAATATGTAAGAATGGGTTTTTTCCTTTCACCCCCAAGATAAGGGTATGTAGAGATTTTTTAACCTCCCCCTTGGGACCCTTACGTAATTAATAAATGGCCTCTAAGTTTGTTTTTTTTCTGCCTAAAACATTAACAGGCGTAAATAAAAATACAACTACGTGGCATATTTACCGTGTTAGCTACCCTTCCAGCCTGCGCCCGCGCGGTCCACAGCTGTGATACGGTTTTTGTTCTGCATTGCTAGAGTAGTAGATTACATAGAATTGTTCGGTTACGACTTACTGGATGGGGGTTCGCGAGTGCAGGCCGTTCCTGGAGCTGCGGCCGGTGTCGGGGTCGCTGGTGGCGCACCCGCCGTATTGTGAGGAGCTGCTGGAGGCGGCGCTGCGCCACATGGAGCGCCTGCTGCAGGACTCGGCCGAGCCGCTCAGCTTCGTGGTGCTGCTGCCCGAGTGGCCCGACCGCCACACGCACGCGCTGCACAAGCTGCAGGCCAGCCACTTCAAGCGCAAGCAGGTGCCCCGTAGGCCTCTGCAGGCCCGAATTTATTTATCAATACTGTTCATATACAACACGTAACATAATTAACGCACTTTGAGAAAGTAGTTTGTTCAGAATTGTTTACTGAATCGATTCCTATCATTTTTAATATAGGTAATTTTTTATCCCAAAAATAATTAAAACTACGTAAATTACAGTCACACTAAATCTGTACAGTCAAAACAAACTGAAATGGACCGTAACTTAAGGCACTAAGACTTTTAAGACTGCAGTTTTATTTGTATTATTACTAATTCTGTCATTCAATAAAAATAAAGAAAAATCAACATTATTTCAAGCACGTCTTTGCCTTCGTTGATTTGTACTGTGACCACAACATTCTTCCGGAATTAGTATAACTAATTTGATAAATGATCAGTGCATAAAAATGTTTAACTAAAAATTCAGTGTATGTATTATGATTATAACATAATATACTAATTGGGGTGTCTGAGGGTGTGCATTAATTACGTTGCATATTGTATATTCTACTTGATTTTTACCATTAAACCAATGGTTTGTATTGGTACTCATATTCGCAATTAAACGCATTGCTTGATATTAAATAATTAGTTAATTTATTTAAAAATAATGAAAAATATACATGTAAAGGTACCTCCTTTACTGTGTAAGCAATAAGCACCTATTTGCAATTCTCACATGGGACACTTCGTATTGAGCGCCACCGACGAGAGCGCTCATTGCGTTCTGGTGAACTGTATCTACTATTCAGCGCAAATTATATAGTAAATATGTAGGCTGTTTAACTATTATACAAACTAAAAATAACTACGAATTGTGCTTGATTTTATAAAACATGACAACATTATTCATCCATCCATTACAGCCTATATAAGTCCACTGCTGATCGTAAGATTCCTACATAGAATGCCTCATACTCGTGGGCAGTTGTTATGAGCAAGACGCTACTGCCCATCTTCTGTTACCGTTTCCCTTGTCGCCTCTACGACACCCATGGAATAATATAGAGTAGTGTGTATTCCTACACACCAACCACCTATCCTATTTTTTTAGTTAGTCACTATATGGCGTGTAGTGACAGCGAGAATCCACTATGTTATAATCCTGTCCATTAATTCAATTCAATTCCATAAAAAAACTGCTGCTGCCAATACCTCTACCAATACTTTCTACCTTATGAGTCAATCTACAGCAGAGACATATGTTCAGCATCAGCAGCAGGAACTCTTGATAATTGTGATAAATATATTTAATATTTCAAGCCAGTGCTTGACTACATTTCCACCTGGTGGTAAGTGATGGTGAATCCTGAGTAGGTGAATCTATATACTCTTGCTTTGCCTTAAGGTGGATGCGTCGACCGTCCGCCCATACATTTTTTTACCAAAATATACACTAAACACAGACACTCTTTCTTTAAAACTAATCATTTATCATTTATTATACGCGAAGCTCAAACTATTGTAGTCTTTAAGCGACTTCTTAAACAGCATTACTTGTCTCAATCGTTTGAAAATCATTAAGATAAATTATGTGATTATGTAGTTTTGTATTTATTTGTTTAGGTTATTGTTAGTTGTATATATTTGAGGATATATGTATGTATATGTATGGATATGTATATGTATATATATATATGTATATATATATGTATATGTATATGTGTGTGTGTGTTTATGTATATACGTATGTATATGTGTATCATATTTTTTTAATGTATTAGTTATTTATGTTATTTTATTGCATGTATTGATATTATATTAGGTATATTTATATTGCACCACCTACCTAGTATTCACTGTTTTATTCCTTTACACCTTTGGTTGCCTGGAAGAGATCGCTATGTAGCGATAAGGCCGCCAAATTGTACATGTAATCTGCTCTCTGTTATGTTCTTTATAAATTTGTTTGTGGTGTACAATAAAGTATATTCATTCATTCATTCATTTTATCACTTCTCTACAATGAAATGTGTACGCGTCTGACCTTTATAGGCACTAACTTACATTATATACTGAGAAAAACAATAGTGAAATCCCGGAAAAATTTGACACTTCTTTAGTAGTGTGCGTGACTTTGGACAAGCAAACGAAAGACGACGTTTAAACATTGGCACGCTAGATGGCATCCAAGTGATCTTAAATAATTCTGATAAATCAATATCTTAAGTTCAATAATTGGTTAATTTCCTTTCCAACCGTTAAAAAACAGTATAAAATAACATAAAACTAATGACCTTAGACACCTATGTTTTTTTTGTAAACAATTTTATTACTTATTATCGTTGTGTGGCAACATAAATACCCAAAATCGTAGGTAAAGCGACGTTGCCGTCCTTCCTGAGAACAAACTGATAAGAGTACTAACCGTAGACAGAGAAGTCTACGGTACTAATGTATTCCTGACCTTGAATTGACGAAACAAAAGCGTTGCCAAACTTACGTACGTTCACTTGTTTGACTTGTTATAAAATATAATATTCTGTTTTCGGTTGTCACGCGCTATGATTTGCGCGCGGAATTTCTTGTGTATTATACATATTTTGTATGTATGTTTTCATTGATTCGAATTGCAATATTTCTCTAGTATATATTTGAGACTATATTGTAATTTATCGTAGGTATAGTAATTAATTATTCTAAAAACGCAATTATGTTTTCGGTAGTATTATTAACAGCAGGCTGGCCCGTAATTTTTCTGAAATATCGTCACAATACTGATTACCTGCGTCATACGTGTCAGTGTTTCATATATGGATGTTTTTGGTCAACAATAAATACAATTATTATAAATCGGTAAACTACCAAAGTAGTCACAAAATTAAACTTGCAAACATTTGCTAAATATGGTTTTGCCGGGTTACATTAAACACCCTTTACGCATTTTAACAGTTTCAGACAGACACACATTATTAGTTTGTTATATTTTGTAGAGCTCAAGTTCACTCGTCACTACGTCATACCTTATGGTGCGTTCAGTAACAAATATAATTCAGTTACATAAAATCCTTTTTTCTGTTCCGCGCTTTATTGTTTATAAATAAATAGCTTATTCTAATCTGAGTTATATTTTTCTTATTCGTCGGCCAATTCTACCGAAATATAAAGATAACATTGAAATAAAAAGATAAGTAAATTTTTGTACATTTTAGTGTTCTAGATCTTGTGTTCCGAACGCAACCCTATTCATATAGAATTGAAGAAAGATTTGTATACATACATGTATATTATATTGTATAGTACCTGGATGACCGAGCATTTCTCGGTATTTTTTTTTTGGAAATCGTGTGTTTTGGAAGTTATATTTAGATTAAAAATACATACTGATAAAATATGAAGATATTTTTTGATCTTACCGACATAATAGAAAAAAACTGAACTGGTTATTAAAATGAAAAATCGTGAGTGCAATTAAATTTTCGTATTTTTAAAAAAATACTCCAAAAAGGGCTTGAAATAATAGATTTTCTCACAAAAGAAGGGAACTTGAAAAAAAGGGAAAAAAGTCTATCCTAAGACAAGACGCGAACCAGGGAACTACGATTTCGCGACAGTGCGTTATACACTTGAGCTATTACGATCATAATAGTGTTAAAATTTACGTTCTTATATTGTAGCAGTTTTTCATTGCCTGGAAACGGGGACAAAACGACATTTTATGAAAATCGTTGGAGCCGTTTCCGAGATTCCGATTATATATTATGAATTATAGTTTTTTACGTGTTGGTTATGAAATGTCTAATTATTGTAATGATTGGTACTGTTACAAATCATCAGTGTTATTAGTTTTGAGTGAATAGGCATGTATCAGTATAATTATGTTGCTTCAAATAGGTACTTCTGTTTTGATAAAAAATTCAATAGTGTAATGTAATATAATAAAACTGCGTTATATTGTAATCAATGTTGACATAATTTATTTCCCAAAGTTATAAATCAATTAAATAGTTGACGCCAACAAATATAAATTTTATTTTTATAACAATCGTACATAGCGTTTTGTAGTTCTGCCTACCCAATCTGCACATACACAAAAATTAAAAACTTGTTTTTTACATACACGCCATCTAGTGTTCTAGCTTCGTAAACGTAGGGATACGTCTGTGTGTGTAAACGACACTATATTCAATGACAGATGTTATAATCAAAATTAATGTCGAGTTGGGTGGATTGTGAGGCAATGATATGACCCATTCCAATAAAATGTAATATCCGATAACCGCTAAGTCTATTCCTACGACTTAATAATTTTCCAATTACACAAAAATCCAAATAAACTAAAAATGTTGACTTCAGCGCCATCTTGCGGGAGAATGGCTGGGGACAGTCCGTAGGTTTCACCTTAAAGGCCCGTATTATAATCCGTCGCCTTTACCCTATACATTACGAAACCATTTAGTTCCAATATGTGAAATTTTATTACTACTATGAATACTAACATTGACAATATTGAATTAGTGCCATGCGTTAATTACTATAGTACACGACAGGTCGATATGGCAATCGGAAAATGAACTGAGGCGTGTGGTAGGAGACTCTCCGCAAACCCGTACATCGCTAGCACCATCTTAGTTTTTAGTTTTACAAGGGGTATTCCCTACTCGTCATTACCAGTTCGCTCAAATTTTTAGAACATGCAGGACTTGGCTAGAAATTGAAGTACCTACCCGAAGTGGGAACTCCAGATGGCTGAGCATATAGAAAGTTTTGATATCTTCCAGATTGTTTTTACAGTATTTTCGAACCTAGGTCGTCCTCTCTAACGGTCAGGGACACCTATAACGAACATAAGTTTCTTGGCGCAGGTAAAAAAAGGTGGAAAAAGGATGTGCTACCACATCACTAGAAAATTTCCATGGCGACCTGTCGCGTACAATTCATGATATAATTTCAATTTTCTAAATTGCGTGGTTATTTAGCGATGCCCGGCTTCGAACACCTGCTCTGTTGTATGCAATGTGTACAGGGTTATGTACACCTGCAACACTCACATGGAAACTCGGTCTGGGATTCATCTTACTCGTAATCTTCCAAAATTTGGTGAAATCTTTTCGGCATGATTTTTTTTATTTTTTGAATAATATCCATTTTGATTTGTTGCTCATTATTCTGACAGTATTTTAACCTAGACTTAAAATATTTTCCGAAGTCACACATATACTGAATTCGGCTTTCCATACAATAACCATTGCTGAAACCAAAATCGAGGCTCCCTGTGAGCGAGACTGACATACTTATTCCAACCAGTTACATATTTGTATTTTTTTTCGTTGGCAGAAGCTTACCTGAGTATTGATATAATATTGATATAATTTGACTATAGGTACAACATATCAATTACTTCCTTGTGATTGACATTAATAAATAAATAATAATAATAATATTTATTCACTCCACAAATTTTACATCGTGACTTACACTATTTAAATAAAAGTAGCATCAATTACATTGAGAGGTTAACGTCGGCAGCCGTACTAGTATAAACTGTGCCACGGCTGCCTGCGCCTTCCACTCTGGGAATCAAATAATAACCTAATAGGTAAGATCTTTTACAACATTTCTCAACAAATAATATTTACAATCTTTTCAAGCTAAAATAAAAATTAAAAATTATAACATGTAGGTAGATACAAAACAAAATAGAATTTAAGCAAGATTACCACTTGGTGTGTTTGATGTATAGTATAATTATAAACGCGGAGCGTGAATGCATGGGGGAGTATTATGTTTGTACGAATTTGTAGTGTGGGTTTTGAGTAATTGGATGTGTGGGATATGTAAGTGTGTGTGTATGCGTGTGTGTGTGTGTGTGTGTGTGTGTGTGTGTGAGAGAGAGAGAGAGAGAGAGAGAGAGTCTATTAAGGTGTTTTATTGAAGGGTTTTAATCCGAATAATATTTTCTATCTCGTCAAAATCTAAATTCAGTAACCAATCCCGTGTAGCAAATTTACATTGATGAAGGGTTAAAGGGTAAATATTTAAAGCTTTATTTGCGATGTTATAGAGATGGGAACTTATAACAAAATAATGCCGTTTTGCAATAGTGCTTCTGTGTGGAGGTGTTGTGCAAACCTTGCTCTTATTACGTTTTTGAGTTGGAACGTATGGCAGTCCTAGATGCTTACGAAGTATAGTGTGGAAGATAAAGAGTTTTCTTACCGTAAGAACTGAGCATTCACGGTAGAGTAGTGACGTGCTATACCTACGCGGTCTTTTATAAATTACTTTTAAGATTGCACGCTGAGCACGCTCCAGGGGAAGCAGTGTACTAATGCTAGTTCCACCCCATGAGACAATGCAGTATTTGAGCAAAGATTGGACAAGCGCATAGTAAACACACATTAGCGTGTCACGATCAGCAGATTTTCTAAGTAGGTAAAAGATAGGAATTAATTTTCTAATTCGGGCTGTTAATGATTTAACGTGTAATGACCAATTAAGATGATTATCTAGAATCAGACCGAGATATTTTAAGCTATGTGTTGGTGATAACTGAGGACAGTCGCAGCAACTATTTATTCTATCACAAGTGTGTGCCCTTATACAAAAGTCAATGGATGGTTGAGTATTGGCCCGTGGGGTGAAAGTTATGTATTTGGTCTTTTTTAAGTTTAACGTAAGCAAATTTTCGTCCAAACATCTCATTACCTCAGTGAGGGCTTTTTCAGTGTATTGTTACATTATCACAATATGATGGGATGCATAAAAGTTCTATGGATTTTTGTTTTATTTAGATGGCCCAAATAAAGTATTTCAATCATTGACTTATATATTACTAGCGTAAGGACCGGGCCGACCGAACAACTAAAACGGACCAGTGCGTTGGCCCTAAAATTACAGTTTAGGGCCAACGCGAATCGGTCGACAGTAGTGCGAGCGCAGGACAGATTTGCCTGTCAAATGTGTCTAGTTGCGTTGTAAAAGAATGCAAAAATTACGATACAAAGATTTAAAAAAAAAAAGATGTGTTATCGTATCATCGGTAAATACCCTTATATTAATTTTGTTACCATTAAATTATTATATAACCGCATTTTTAAAGTTTTATTTTACAGTTAGTTTGGTTACGTTACCAAGATTAGGCCAGGGTTGGACTCAGACCTTCAAAAATATTGTAAAAATATTGTTGTTCCATGTTTCTTTTTTCCCATGTGCCGGAATTTTGGCGTCACTCATCTAGTTTATCTATTTGTTTCGGTTTTTGACGGTTTTATTTTTATTTATTTTTAATTTTTGTCTAAAGAACTTAGTGTAAGTTAAATTTTGAATTTTGGTACCTAATATATTTTATATTCAATGAGGGTTAAACAAAAAGAGTACAAAAGAAACCATAACTGATTAATTGAATCTGAAAATCTGATTCATAAAATATTTTGAAATTCTGTTTTTAAACCGATTGCTTCTGGAGCATAGAGTTTTTTCGTGGTAGCCCCTCATTATAGTTGTATCAAGGATGCAACATAAATGCATCGATCGAGCATCGATTGACCAGAAAGGGAGCTAATTCTAATTTTATTAAAAAAACGCGGTACTTGCGTACAATACAAAAATTCTCGATATCGTAGGGCTAATATTAAAATGTAAAAGGACCCAATAATAATACAAGTTGACCTTTAGGTAAAATTATGGTATTTTCGCTTAGTATTATGTACTACAAACTAGGATAATAGTACAATTAGGATGATTATACTATTATATTATACTACAAAATCCGACCCTGGTTACGTCTTGTTTCGATATGACGTTTGTATTATGACAGATGCGCTACTTTTTCTTGAATGAAAAGGTTATGAGTAAAATATTTAGATGGGGCCTATCCTTCATTTTGAAATCATTGATTTCAATTGACAAAAATGTTATGTCTACTACTGCCCTAATTCGACATGACCTTATACTAGCGACTTCTAATTCAAACGTTTGTTATAGATGCTAAAAACGATTAAATTAGGTAATTAAAAAAAGATGATTATCTCTGGAGTAAGCAATCGCGAGTTACAACAAATTGTTAATTTCACTCGATCGGGGTCCATCTTTTTAAGTTTCCAGGCAATTGGTCTATCCAAGAGTGCCAGCTGGTATTCATTACTCAAATGATTTCCTTATACTTCTTAAGTTGGTTAGGAGAATTAATGAGCATGGATATTGTAAGTAGGGATGGGCCGAATATGGATTTCACCGAATACGAATATTCGGCCGAATGTTCGGTAAATTTTTTATCGAACCGAATATTCGGCCGAATATTATTCGGCAGGATAACCTCGAGACCCAACCAATTTATGTCGAAACTTGTTACCGTAAAGCGCGCGGGATTAGCGCCGGACCCTGTCTCTCGCTCCCCGCCACACCTGACAGTTGACCTGAGCAAATTGCCGACACATGCTTATGTCTTGTCTATTCTTGTGATAAAAAACGTATTTCGTTGTTTTATTCTTAGTGAAAATTGATAACTATACGATAAAAATGAGCGGTAGGAGATTTACTATTTGGACTTATTTTAGAGCAACTGACTACCAAAGTAAAGAAAATGTACTAATGTAATGTAATGTTTCTTTGTTTGATTCCAAAAACATTTTATCAAGTTTCTATTTGCCATTTTTGTTTTTTCTATACATTGGACACTATGAAAACGAATATTCGGTGATTTAGCCGAATATGCGGCCGAATGCGAATATTCGGTAAAGCTGCCGAATACCGAATATAAAACGAATATTCGGCTCATCTCTAATTGTGAGCCCCTGATACCTATTTTACATTATATTAGGTCCTTTACTTAGACCGTAAGAAAAAATGTCATGCAGTAATAAGTTACAGCCTATATACATGTCCCAATGCTGGGCACAGGCCTCTCCTCATTATTGAGAGGGTTTTAGGACAAAGAAGTGTCCGCCACGCTGCCCCAATGCGTGTTGGCGAACTTCACATGTCTTCGAAATGTATTTTTTTTCTTATTCCTCAGACATGCAGGTTTCCTCACGATGTTTTCCTTCACCGCTGAGCACGTGGTAAATCAGCTCTTAAAATTGCAATTAACAATTTCATTGGTGCCGGCGGGGATCTAACCCGGGTTACTCGCATTCTGTTATATTTACAGCGAGCGTTAACCATCTGAGCTACCACGGCTCATCATCATCATGCAGTAATCCTTTACTGATTGTAATGTAACATATTGAATTTAAGTGTTCTATTAAAATTATATAATTTTATAACTTTCAGGTTGTTATACCCGCGTTTGAACATGAATACAGACATGGTTTTCAACACATTCTCCCCAAGTAAGTATTTTTAGTTATAATTTTCTTTAATTTATGCCTTATCAGTCTTTAGTCATCAATAGATCAATAGTGGACTTTGAATGTTAACGGTAAAACTAGAACTAAATATTTGTTTAAACGACAGCAGCAAGCACTGTTACATGCAAAACTGTGAAAGGCGACCAAATGGGTCGTAGTCGATTCGCCTAATCCTTGAAATGTCTACTATTGATTGATTAAATGAATCCTAATATTTTATCCATTACAGCTAACGAACACTAAATAATTTATTGTTATACTTCCCTATTTGAATAGGATTTTGATCACAATTTCATGGGTTGTAATTTTTTGGCGCGGTACGGTAAAATTAACCTAAGTTACTCTTTATAAAGTTCTGCCAGTGAAAGTCCCGTCAAAATCGGTCCAGCCATTTCGTAGATCATCCGAAACAAACAAACAGGCGGTCAAACATTTAAAAATTTTTTTTAAGTAATACGGTATTAATGTATATACTTTCATGTATGTTAAGTAAAAAGTTGTTATTTTGTCATTAAATTCAATTTTACTTATTTTTACAGATATACGTTTGTCATTTATAATCTGTTCACTAAGAAAGTGTCGGTACACCCGGCGACGCACGTATAATTTTTCTTTTATTTTATTTATTTATTTTTATTGCGTTTGTTAAATAAATGTTTTCCTATTCTAAGAATAAAATAGAAAACTATTTTAATCTTAGAATAATTAATTTACATAGTATTTTATTACAATAATCTTATTGTCTATTTTATTGTAATAAAGAATTTTATTAGAATAAAATAAAGAAATAGTGGTATTCTGTTCTATTCTTATGGTTAAACACAATTTAAGTAGCAAAGAATCTTTCAGTACGGCGGTTCGTTTTAAAATGCCAAATTCTTCATTTGTTAGGAAAATAATAAAAAATTGAGCAACCCTTCCCCCCCCCCCCCTGCCTGCTTACGTAATACTTGAACGAATAAGCCAATGAGACCAATAACGACGTATGCCTGTCTGTGTACGAAAGGAACGAAGTATACTTCCGCTGGGGCGGCGGCACGGTGGTGGTGTGGCTGCAGAACGCTGCGGGGTTCGCGCGCTGGGGGCCCACCGAGGAACGCGTGGAGGCGCTGCTGGACGCCTGGCGCCCGCGCGCCAAGCTGCGCTCCCCGCCAACCGCGCCCGCCCCCGCTCCCACCCCCGCGCCCGACGCCGACACGCACAACAACCACACCGCGCCCGCCACACCCAACACCCCCAACACACCCAGCACACCCAGCGCCCCGAGTACACCCAGCACACCCAGCACACCTAACACACCCAACACACTCACCACACCTACCACGCCTACCACTCCCACCACGCCAACCACGCGCTAGCCCCCGCCATGCGGTGATGCCGCCACCACGATGAGCCACTAATCTAGAAAAACTGCACATGACGAACATCTCATCGGATAGTTCCTGCTGCCCAATTTACAAACAGCCTAATATGTATATATAACTCCTTCCGTCATTCATATTGATAGTTTCAGACTTGGAAAGTCCTCCTCACGAAAGAAACCCCTTGGCCGCGGAGACACTATATTCGCAAAATTACATTTGCTGTCAAATTCCATACTTTATTGAATTAGGCTAGTTTGAACCTGAGACTAATTATAAACTACTTTTTGTAATATGACATAAGTCTAAGAGTTTTTGTTAAAATAGACGAACAATCGTGGTTACTGTTTTGTTGGGTATCTTTGATTTATCTTACAACTGAATAAAACTATAACTAAAAGTTATTTTATATTTTAATTATCAATAATATTGTGTAATAGGTATTCATATTAGATGAAATTGACAAATCTGAGTTATCATCCCAATTAACCTAACACTAGTTCAACTAGGTAATGTTAAAACTTTTAATTTTTTTTTGATATACGTACGTTAGTTAAGATTTAAGCTCTTGTGGCCATATATCGGGTTTGATAAATTATTTATATAACCTGATATTATAATTTCCATCTTTTATTTACATTATAATGTTGGGTACATTACAATTAACATAACATTTATACCTAAGAAAAAAAAAACACATTGGTTAGTAAAACATGAAATAATCTTAAAAGTATACATAAAATACATTTTTATTTCAAAATCTTAAAATCCCGTAAGTATTCAAAGTTACCTTACTTAACTTGGATTATATTTAAGTGGACAGCGTAATCGTTTACCTCCAAAAATAACCGTCACAATATTGTGATAACGGGGGTGATAATACTTGAACAACATTGGTACTAACTGTACGTTATCAAGTTTATGAACTGAAATATATTTTCTCTTACATAAACTAAGACTTCTGATTAATAAAATTTCTGTAACAATTTTTACATAATATTGGCTTATATAGGCTTGGTAGTGGCACTCTAAGTCAATATTGGTTATCATTGTTTAGCAACCTAACTCAGTAAACAAAATTACAAAAGGCAGCAGGAAGTCCGATATACATACATTGACAAACATTAAGATTGTAATGGTAAAAACAAATTTAATCTTTGACACTGATTGTTTGCATTGATTATATCCAAAGAAATAACAAAATTCATCATTCAATACAAAATATTTATCTTTCATTGTAAATACTATAAAAATTTATTCTAAAATTTTTTAAACATGAATTTGGAATGTACTATTATAATGAAAAATGAATTAAATACTGCATATTTTTAAAATAATATCCTTTATTTGCTTTTTTATTACTTGTTTATATTTTGACAGTATAAAAATTCGTTGTGATTACTATGATCATATTAGTAATTTGAAACGCCTAAAACTGAGAAAACTTTCAATTTATTTATGTGAAAACTAAACTTTTTAAACTTTATTGCTTTAAGTAAGATTGTACTTGTGTTCACTGGGGGAGGTCGATATTGAAAGTGGATGAATGTGTAAAGATTTGATCGGTATACATAAGTATGAAAGAAATTTTGTCGATTTTCCGGCATAAAGACTGTGGTAAATAAAAATGATTTTGTATATTATAGAAATAAAATATATCGGCGATTGTCAGAGTAGATACTTAAATGTTAGGAGCATAGATCATGAACATTTATTTTAAACATACATTTCTATGTATATTTCAAAAGGCACCTTATGGACAATGTGATAACATTGCACAACGCACAGTAATACATTTGAATAGATTATATAAAATGAAATTTTCGCATACATACTATGTCAGCTAATCAAATGAATGCGTCCTATGTAATATTACTTTTAGCATACACATATTATATCATACCTGTGAATGTTATAAACTGAAGTGCTTATGAAACTATTATGTAATGTAACAAGGGTTTACACGGGCCACTATTTTTTTCAGGCTCTTGAAATAAATCAATTTTTAATTTAAGCCCAATGACATTTTGGCGATTGCCGTAAATCGTAGAGGCATATTGTATGTTTATATTTAAGTAATAATTATAGAATATGTATAGATTGTAGTAGGGCTATCATTGGCACATACTTCCATTAATGTTATATTTTAATAAAATCTTGATATATCTGTATGTGGAGGAGCGTAAATATTTTACATACTTTTTTAATTTTTCGAATTTTAATACAGAACGCTAATTTTGCATAGCAAATTAATTACTTGTTGATACTATAAATGAAATATTATAAAGCGGATATTTCTATTTATTCTTTAGTTGATATTTTTAACACAATCCGCTTATTTTAGTCAATGGCTATGAATTATGCGGAATCTACACTAATGACTTTTTCGGTTGTTTGATATTGCAAATGGAAGCCCTACTTTTAAGGAAATTTAAGAGAGTAAAGATAAAGTAACTAGACAAAATTGTTTAAGGAATAAGCAGACTTAAAAATCCGTGCAACACAGGCGATAGCAAAACCAAATTCCTTTTATTATTATTATAATGTTTTATAAACAGAATCTTATGTCATTTTATGGATATTATAACGAAATAAGATTTTCGACTTTAGATAATTTCTTTGTCAATTACAAGATAAATAATTTACCGTATAAAAAAGAAACCTTAAACCTTTTCCTAAAAATTATCTGCTACGTCTATGACAGCACAATATACACTAACTTGTAAGTATATACTTCTGTTGTAGGTATATTTTTTGTATTGGTAAAATGAATTTAAGTGCTAATTAAAATAAGCAGTAAGTGTTTTTATACGTAAGTTATTTCATATTATTTATAGTTATCCATACGGTTTTTATGTAATGGCATAATACTATTTTGTCACAGATTTTTTTTGTTTGATCACTATTGGTGAACAAAGGACAATGTTTTGGACGATGTAATATTATAAAATCATGGTGACGGTATCATTAAGTCATATAGTGTTTGTAATATCAACTAATATAATAATATTTTAAATCATCATATAGTTCAGCAATCAGTATATTATTTTATGCCAGCAGCGGGACCGATGACTATTTCAAAAATATTGTGAGATCAAAGCTTTTGCTGCTGCTTAAACTCCCTTATGACCAGTCCTCGGTATTCCTTATTATTATTATTTTTATTTACCTTACGCGTTTACTGAATAATATGAAAATGGTTTGTATAGAATTGCAAATTGAATAAATAACAAATGGAATATGTAAAACAGCAGCATTAACGAGACCATTAATTACATTAATCTGGGAATACAAAATTGCAAATGTGACAAGAACCATTCGTTTGTTGCTATATTTTCATTGTTACAAATTTGAAATTTTATTTTTACACTAAGAGCAGTATGTCTGATTTAAATATGTTTTTTATACCAGGTTATTTTAGTTTAGTTTCTGGAAGACTTCATTACTTAAACCCATAACTTAATCCAGGAAAATTACCAAAACAATTGAAATCATTAAGGTAGCGTTTAGTGGAGTTGCTTTTATTTGAATTAATAGGTAAAAGATTGTGGTTTCCTCTGTTATTGGTGAAATCTGAGATTATGACCGTAGATTGTGATAACTTGGCCGTGGAGCCACTCCTCGGCCACGTTAAAGTCTAATTCGTCCAGAACATTCTTTTAAATATGTTTGATTTTATATTTTGTAGAAGGAAGTTTAAGCTATCCCTGTGCAAAATTTAGAAATTATATCAGATATCTCTTTACAATATGGTTGTCTTCCGGCAAGCGCTGGTCGCTTATAAATAACGTTGTATCGATATTTCATGCTCTTTCTCTATAAAACCAAATTAGGAACGTGTTAGAACCTACGTCGACAATGAATTTAAGATACGTAGAATTTGTACATACTTATGCCTACTGTACACAAATTTTCGATATGATTTTGTTTATTTACTTATTGTAAGTTCTTTTAAGAGTCCTTTTTCACTGTTGTATAGTACGATAAAGATATTATATTTTGATTGTTCATTATTATATTTTTTTAAAAAAATAACAATATGTTTCATTTTTAATTAAAATGTAATAACCGTAGTACTACGGACAAAATATTTTGAATATGCCTAATTTTTGTTACAGTCAAAACTCATAACCGGCTATTATGTATTCTGGGTAATTTTATACTATCGCGGTCAACTCGTTTTTTGGCTCTAGAAAATCGAAAATCATCCGATTTCGATGATTTTTTAAAAATCTTCATTATTTTATGATTTACGAAAAAATTACAAGAATAAAAAAAATTAAACTTACATTGGATTCAAGGCTTTAAATGTTCATAAAAATACTCTCAATCACGTATAATTGTTGATAATTTTTTTACATAATCAAATGAAGTTGTTATATTTTTTTCATAATCTACACAAAACCTCTAACATTAAAAAATTCAAAAATGTTTGTTTATTAATTTTTCAATTTGGTTTTTATTGAGTGTAAGATCGAGCGATGCGAGCTCGGGACTTGGGCATCACCAATCGAAAAAAATAAAAAAAATGTTTGTTTATTAATTTCGGTCTTTATTGAGTGTAAGATCGAGCGATGCGAGCATATACTTGGGCATCCCCAATCGAAAAAAATTAAAAAAATGTTTGTTTATTAATTTTGGTCTTTATTGAGTGTATGATCGAGCGATGCGAGCTCGGGACTTAGGGTATCCCGACTCGAACAGGTTAGGTTAGAAGGAGATTTTGAGTTTTTTGAGTGGCGTGGTGCTTCCCTCCCCCAATTCTCCCGTAGCGCAGACGAGGGAAGCCCGGTCGACGCGGCCGCGAAGCGTGGCTCCTACTTCTGAGTGGTTTATAAAAAAATAACCACGAAGGATATGGCGGGGTCGCAAAGGTCGCGGGGGCAGAAAGTCAAACTAAAGATATGGGTCAAGCAATTACGGCTTCTGATTAGCTAATATATGCACATCATTTAAGGTTCTAAGATAATGTATTTTGCTCGTATCGTCCTTACGTG